CAGTACTCGTTGTGCTTCCAAACCTCTCACAGATTTTATATCACAGTAATAAAATAACGAATAGGCAGGCATTGGAAATATCTGCCAATTCGACGATAATTAAGTCATGTTTCGTTATAATGTGACAGCGTTTATCTTTTTCACTGCAGGTCCTTGACCTTGAGGGTTAATCCTTGGCCTTGGTCTAAAAGGCTTGCCGGTCAAAGTCTTGGCTTTGAGATCAAAACATTTGCTTTAACACTGGCCTGTACTCAGACTGACATATGTGAAATGGCATGAAGGATGACGTAATCATTCACAGACAACCCATCTTCATCTTTATCCGAGTTACCTTTTGACAATCTAAATTTGCAAGTTTTTCTTAAAAGGATAGCTGCAATCAATATGTTTTATGCAAACCTTCAAAATGCACCTCTCTGTCTCAGTTAACCTTACTTCCAACTTTTGTTTCACTGTTTACAAAGTGTGTTTCATTGCTTATTTTGCTTTCATGCTAGCGAGTATATCCACATTCACGAGTACAAAACTGTGCTGCTAGATTACTTACAGGCACCAGAAATTTTCATCATATCAGCCCGGTGCTTATTCCGGTGAACTCTAGAGTCATGTAAAGTTTGGTCTTTCAGAGTAAAAATGTTTAAATGGTCTCACCCCTTATTTTCCTTGTGATTTACTTTACACTACTTGTTCTTCTTCACTGAGAAATACACGATTGTCATGTATTTGGAACTAGACTGCTGCACCGTGACACTAGATTGTGCACTTTTGGCGACAGAACCTTTTCTGCCAAACTATGGAACCAATTAGACTTGTGCCTCAGGGAGGCACAAGTTCTGGTAAGAATACATTTATTTAGCGACATATGAAATGTTCCATTATTATACAACTCATCTGTCACCCCCTGGAAATATTCTTACCTTTGCACTCATAAACGTTAATTATTTGTTGGGCCTATACTGAAGTTCTTCGTAGCCAATAAATGCCCCAAACTTGAAAACGATGTCAGGAAATGCTCAAAAACGGAGTACAGCACAAAAGCGGTAAGAAATTACCTCAAATCGTACGGTTAATCTTGAATCTAAACCTTTTCTGGGGTTCAAGCAGACCCCATACTACCCATAGGTTCACGCTTGCATTGATCTATCACTAGGTACTATGTCCCTCTCCATTGTCAGAAGTGATTTGCGCTTCTAAATTTGGCAGTCATTTTCAACATCATTACTCTGCGTTCAAAACCCATTTTGCCTGCATATCGTCTTAAAATGCCCTCCTGTA